CCCACAGCCCCCCATGGGGGGGGGGGCCGGGCCCCCTGCGGGGGCGGCAGGAGCCAGTCACGGAGCAGGGTCTTGTGGGGTGAGAGCCGGGCTCTCGGGTGCTCACCCCCACACAGCTGAGCGCTCGCCTCTTCCAGGGCCCTGGAGCCTGCCGGTGGGATGGCCGGGCTGTGTACAAATGCCCAGCAGATCTCCTGCCCCGCTGCTCCCCCGGCGCTGCAAGAAAAGAGCCAGGGGATGCTCTCAGTGCCAGCTGCCCTCCTGCCGGGCAGCGCAGGAGGCAGGCTGGGCTCTGGGTGCAGGGGACCCGGAGGGCGCTTTGTCGTCTTTCCCCCGGAGGACGCGGCTGCAGGCTGCAGCGCCCTTGTGCTTCCACGGCTTGGCCGTGGTAGCGCTGCCCAAGAGCTGCTGCCGCGGACGTGCCACGTCACCCGAGTACAAACGTGGCCTTTCCTGCGAGGCTCTGAAGGCCATGTTCTGCAAGAAGGGACAGTAGTTGAATTCCTGGGCAGATGGCTGTCACTCACACGAACCACAGTTATTTATAATGTTCCCCAACCTTCAGCCCATTTCTTCACCTGGAAATGAAAAGGGAATGATGCTTGGGAAGCAGCTCGCAGCTGTGGCTCTGCTGTGGCTCTGCAGCCCGGTGACAGAGCGGGCCCAGGAGAGAGGCCAGAAGGGTTTTTGTTGTGATGAAAAATACAAACCTCCCTATCCCTAAATTGACAATATTTCTACAAATTCTAATTAGTGTCTAATTTTGGCTTCTGAATATGTCTTTTCATTACTGGAGTCCTCTAGCCAGAAATTATCTGGCTGCACTGGTACTTTGCATGCTGGCAATTGTGTGAAGTTTTGTTCTCCGCATAGTTTGCAGGGTCAGAGGGCTTCCTGATGCAGGGCAGAGTAACAGGGAGACAGCCTGGTTGCTTGGGGCTAGTAGTGCTTGTGCTGCGGAAGCCAATGTCCTGAACCGAAAGACCGGTATTGTCCCGCAGGCAGCCAGGAAAGCTGGGCTGCCTGCAGCGGTGCCAGAACGGGGTTCTAGTCTGTCTGCTCTCTTGGATAGGCAGGCCAAGAAGGGACGGTGCCCTTTATTTTAAAAGAGCTGCTTAATAGCTGCCTCTGCTGAGAAGTTTGTGGTCTTTCATGATGCTCTAACGCTTCCAAATGAACACCTGCAGGGTGCTGGGAAATCTGAGCACTAACCGTCTGTTCTTACAAAGTATCTCTACCATGTTTTTCTTGGCTTAGCAGCAGCAGTGATTAATGACAAATCCCCTTCCAAACAGAAGGGTGGTGTACGGGAGTCCTGTGAGTCACAAAGGAGAGAAAAAAGAAACGGACAATTGCACAATTTCTGGGTACAATGGCAGGAGCTGATGTTTTTGGCTTAATCCTGCCAAAGCCAGTTCTGGCTCCTCAAAGCTATGCTGAGGCATAAGCTGCAGTTTCAAATGCTTTTGGGCTGCATAAGTAGTGCTATGCACAGACGGCTGCTGCGTGGTCCTGTGTCTCTAGCTGGGTGCAAGCACAACCCTTGCCTACAGTAGCTGGGATAGTTTGGGTCAGGCTTGTCAAATCCCTGGCAGATGCAGTAAGCAAAACTCTTCCTGAACTGTTGTCACTGTGTGCGATGGGAAAGCAGTATAGAGAAATGGGTCCGGGTCGTGTGGCAGAACAGGCGGGAAATACTAACTCTGTACCAAGTAGCCAGAGGATGGCAATGGCTTGTGGGGGCTGTGGCAAGTGCCAGGTCCTCTTGTCAGTCAGCATGTACGAGCAGAGTCCTTGGAGCTGGAGAAACTGTCAGGTTGTACGGCACGTGCAGGCCTTGGGCCTTTGGCGTGGCAAGGTCCAGGCAGCCCTGGTCGCTGAAACAAGACCAAACTCGGTCTCGCTGCTATTGCCTTGGACGTGCCTCTGGCTCATCGGTTTGCAAATAGTGAAGGAGCTGATTAAGGGAGGGCCATGTCATTGCCTTACTGGGACCTGTCTTTCACTTATCTGTTCTTCTGGTTTCTCAGAGCCATGCCACTTCCCCACAAAATACTAACCCTTATCTCCCCCAGTCCTCCGCAGCAAGTGATGGGCTCAGCCTACCAGCCGAGGACAGCTGGTTTCTGTCCTTGGTGGGAGAGTCCCATTCCCCCTCCTCCTGCAGTGCAGGACTTGGCTCCAGCGCTGCCCAGCTGATGCCTGCTCTGTTGGCGGGCCATAGGGGAACAAGAGGCCCAGGAGTTTGAAGGATTGCTGCTTGCCTCTTCTTGTTTGAGTTGACAGAAGTCCAGTTTGTCGCTGAAGTGTAGCCCTGGCAAAGCCAAGGCCTGCTCTGGAGGTCTGGGCTGATCCAGTTCCTCCTTGCAGACCACCCACCCGTGTCTGGATGCTTCTATCCAGGTTCATGGGCACTTGGAAGCTTCCCAGCCTCAGCGTACTCCTGCTCATTGCCGGAGGAGCATTGCTTCCTCAGGACATGCTTGCGTGATTTACACCACTTCCCTGCATGCTGCCGCTTGGGTTTTGTGCTACGCTAACCTGATTTTGCCTCCCTTCTGCAGAACAGCCTGTAGTAGATGTGTTCACCACAGCCTGCATGGTCCATCTCAACAGCTGGCTGGGGAACGCTGCTCTGCAGGATGGTGCTGAACAGGTCCTTAGCCTCCCAACACCGTATGCCTTTGGGAAACGCATGTACGGTCACAGCTTCTCAGTTAGCAGGAGCATGGCCATATCCCTATGCTTGTTTAGCTGGAAAGCAGCTCTGGAAATAGTTCCTGGGTTTTGGTAATGGTTTGTGGTCCCTCCCCTGTCAGCAACAGCTTTGGCAGCTGCCCGAGCCTCCGTTGCATGCTGCACAAGCTGTGGTACGCTCCGTGGCCACGACGGCCTCTCTTCTGCGCGTCGTAGCCCAGTACCTGCTTCCCTTTTCCCTTGCATTCCGCTGTGCCGTTGCGTTTCCTCCCGAGGACACGCAGGCAGGAGCAGAGCTGGGCGTCAGCCTCTCCTGACTGCTGCCCAGCCCAGGCAGGGCAGAGGGATGCTGTCCTAGTTTTCTGCTGGGTAGCTGAAAGAGCTGAAATAAAGCGGCTTCCCCTTCAGAGGTCGGTTTGGAGTGCTAGAGAGGTGCGAAGGCCCGCTGTTGCAATAGGGATGGGCAGCGTGTGGTGCCGTGCGCCTGGGACTGTACCTCACCCTGCTGGGGCCAAGGAGGGGGGGCGGGTGTCCCAGGCAGGCCCTGTGCCCCGGCCGTGCCCGTGCCCGTGCCCATCCCTCCTGGGGCCGCAGGACGCTTGGGCGGCTGCGAGCGAAGGCGTGGGGTCAGCGGAACAGCGGGGGCTCGCCTGAACTCATCGGGGCTCGCCTGAACTCACGGGCTGGGGGCTGCTGGCCAGCGCTGGAGCGAAGGTACGGTAGCCGAGGCTGCGTGCCCCCTGCCTACAGCATGGACCCACTCAAAGAACAGCTTGAAACAGTTGGAAGTGTTCTTGTTCGCAATTAATGTGGCTTTATTATTAATGTGTCGGGCTCCTCTCTTGACAGCAGTTAGTTACAGAGTGTTTCACATGGAAATGGGCAAAAGGACAGAACTTAAGGAACTAAATTCAAATAGAAACATGATGCTGAAGAAAAGAATCAGGGCTCTGTTCTTAAAACATTTAGCATAGAAGAAGCTAGGAGCACAAGTTGCCATTTCAATACAGTTAAGACGTTCACTTTTTTTTAATTATAGGTTTAAAATAGTATTTTGTACCTATTACATACAGGAAGATTACGCGTTGTTGCCCACATGCAGAAACAAGCAAAAGCAGAGTTTAACTGTTTCTCTCTATAGTGTTGTATTACCCTGGCTCTGGATGGGGTCTGCTGGCTCCTGCAGGCCAAGCAGGGTCAGCCTCTTTACAAATTGGCATTTTTACAAGTCTTTTTCCCCGTAGTTTTTTAAGATTGGGGGGGGGGAGGACGAGGGGAGGAAGACAGAGAGGGAAGGAGAGAAGCTGAAGGCAGCAGAGACTGCCACAAAAGACTGAAAAAAAAGTGTGGAGCCTTGAGGACCGGGAAGCGAACTGGTGTAGGATAAAGCTGTCCAAGCAGCATAGCTGCGGCGCGCAGGAGCGCAGCGGGCGGAGGGCCGGTGTTCTTACTGAGCCCATGCCAACGGCCGCGCTCCTGCCTGGAGGATGCAGGCACCTTGCAAAGCCTCACTATTACTGCTGCTTAGTCAGAATTGCTTCAAGTTTAAAACTGAGAAAACATTCATGTGTGGGTCTATCTAAAGTTAGTGCATTAGCTTTTACACCTAGCCACGCTTAGGGATCCAGGGAGCCAGTCCATGAGGGTCACGCTTGTTCCTCTGGTGTCTGGCATCCTGCGCCCGTGCTGGCCGGCAGCCAGTCCCACCGGCGGCTGCGCCAGGCTCTCCCCGAAGCGCTGAAGGCAAAACCCCGGCAGCGTCCGGGGAAGCAGGAGCAGCTGTGGCACTGCCTGCAGTTGCTTGCCATAACCAGCATTCATGGACGCTGACCCCATCGGGTTACAATGACACTTATTCTTCCGGCAGACGCACCGTGAGTCCATGGTTCAAATGAGTACAGCACAGGGCAGGGATTTGCTAAATCCCTGAGGAAGCTCACGTGCTCCTAACAAGGGCTGTGTCAAAAGGGCTGGCTGCTCCCAGGCAAGGGGCTGCTAGCCTCAGGCTTTCTCCTGCAGCTGCTGGGTTTTAGACACAGGCTTGCAGGCTGCAAGCAGAGACCCCTTCTGCCGCCAGCAAGTTCTCTATCGTCTTTTTATGTTGTTGTTTACATTGCAGCATCTAAGTATTTGTACTGAGAAACCTCTGAACTGACACTAAGAGCACATGGTGTCATGTTAACATGTATAAATTAAAATATTAAATCCACACAAAATGCAGCTTAACATAAAAAAATAAATATATAAATTAAATGCAAAATAAACCATTTCCCTAGAAACTCCATTTTAGTTCTAGGAGCAGGTTTCTAAGCAGCATTTCCCTTATGTCAGCTGCCAGAAAGCTAGCACTGCAACTGAAGCGTCCCAGGCAAGCACAACACAGGGTCCTAGGATGCTTATTATGGAGTCAGCCCTCGGCTCAGCGCCACAGCAGACGGAAATACCTTGGAGTTGTATGTCAAGCCTCGCAGCGTTGCTTTCTAGCTCCCCTCTCCTTCCCCAGAGCACACCCTGCTGCCACTCTCTCTCTTACAGAAAGATAAAAGCCATCTTTGTGGCAAGAGCCTCTGGCAGTGCTCTCGGATGTGGCAAAGGCTCACCGGTGCCGCCGGCTCGCCTGCGCACTAACACTCCTGGAGCTGCTCTCCCTGCAGCGGCTGGAAAGGGTTTGCACGCCAGGAGGCTCGGGGTGAGCGTTCGGTAGCAATGACGCGCTCACGGCATACGACGACGCTTCTGCCAGGACGGCCAGAGAGCACGGACATGCGCCCGCCATGGGCGCGCCAGCAATGGGCTGCGAGCTGCAAGGCGTGCACGGCCCAGTTTTGACAGCACCTCACCTATGCTGGCAACAAGAGTCTGCGTGTGCCTGCTACGGCTGCGGAGGAACCGAGAGCAGCTACGCTTACTAAACCCCTTTCCCCGAGTGTTTTTGGAAGGGGGTTCTCTTTCCTCACACCACGGGTTCTGTTCCCCGCATCCTGCGCACTTAGGGGGACAACAAAAAGCTTGAACGCAGCTAAGAGGCCGGCATACAGGCAGCGAGGACACTGCTGCTGCTTGCAGAACTGACGCACGTCAGCTACACCAGCCAGACGCTAGCCTCTCCGTGCGGCATGCGGGTTCCTCAGCTGCCTCGCCACAATCCTCGAGAAAGCCTTTGGTTTACAAGGACAGGGAGGTTTCTCGTACATCTTAGGCCAACAGAGGCCAGGGTTGTTTCAGCCCTTCTGCTTTCGAGGGGGCTGTAGTTGTGCGTTTGGATGCTCTGTGTGTGACTGGGCAGGCAACAGCCCCTCTGTGCCTCCTGCTGTCACACTGCTGACGGGCAGGAGTAAGTTGGCCGCTCTGTGTGTGCAAAGCTCACAGGAGGTTTAGGAATGTGCTCCTTGTAGCAAAGAACAACAGGCTGAACCCTCCCCTCCCACCGCGGCCCCCAGACAAACGTGTCCTTCGTCCCAGCTCCTTGAGCATAGCGAGCAGGTCTTGCAGGATGCCACAACCACACACTTGGGACAGAAACCTGCAGAGCTGGCAAATGGTGGTCCTGCCTCGTCGGAGTACAGGGCCCCTTGCTCAGGACACCACCTGTATGGTCAGGATGGGAGATGGAAGAATGACCTTCACTGTCAGGTTACAGTTGGAGGGTTTCGCCTTCCCTCATCTCCTAGGTGCATTTTCTTTGCAAATTAGTTTTCTTCTCTGCTCCCCCTGCCCCCATGCACTGTCTACATGCAGCAGCAGCACTTCAGTCCTCACCAGAAAGACGAGGTTCATGGTGCTACAAGTTAAATGGCAAGGCAGCCAGGAAGAGTTGAACAAGCTCTCACAGCAGCAAGACAGCCAAGATAGATAGTCTACAGAAACTGTACAGGCAGCAGAATAAAGCAGGGAAAGTGGAAGTGCCCCTGGCCTGCAACTGCTCTTGCACAAACTCTTAGCTCAGTCCAGAATATTACAGAGCCCTGCACTTCTTTCTCATGGCATCCAGTGCTGAGCTAGATGGATACCCGATTGCCTGACAAATGGGAACCATGTAGAGGACTAAACCAGAGAAGAACTGGACTGTGATTAGATGGTGTCTCTGATGTTGCATCGGTGATTGGAGAGTCAATGGATGAACGCAAAGTGGGGGAGATTTAGAATTCGATCTTACAGGCTGGAAAAGATTCATCCTGCATCACAACAGTGCTGCTGCTTGCCAGTACCATGATGTTTAGCTCCTGCTGCTTCTCATGGGTCTGTTGGTACCATTCTCGTGTCACCTCAGTATCATGTGTTGGGATCAATGTCACCTGGGAAAAGAAAGCAGCAGGGATGATTTGTCTGAGAACAACTGCAGTGACAAACAATGCCCATAGGAGCTAAGGCTAAAATTTTCCATTAATTTTGGAACACTGTACCCTTGTTCTATTTAATGTCTTTCAGATGTCAGGTTCTCTAAGGCAGAGCTGGTGCTTTATTTTACGCAGTACCAGCAGAGTGGTGCTCCGAGCAGGCTGCAAACCGGCAGCGCTAACATCGGCATGATGAAAATGGCTGCAGCGCAGGGAAGAGCCTCTCTCTGCGGAGCTCCAGAAACAGCCTTAGGAAGATCCCTCGGAGCGAAAAGGAACAATGCTGAGAGTGTCACTGTTAATGGCCTGATATTAGACTTCATGTGCCTATTGACCCAACGGGCAGCTCAGGGACCTTGAAATCTGAGGCTGCTTCATCTGAAAGAACACACACACTTTCTTGTACCTGTCTGCAGAAAGAGTGCCCGCCCAGGATGTCCTGCAAACCTGACTAAGCAAGAACTACGTGTAAGAACACTCTGGTTTAAAAGCACTAAAAAAAAGTTGCTATCAATCAGAAAGATGTTCAGCTAGCAACAAACGCCGCTGGGCGCGGGACACCGTGATGACAATTCAGACTGGGACGGTGCTTGTTTTCACTTGAGGATAGGCTCGTGCTGCAGCAGGTCAGGAGGAGTGTATGATCTCTAAATGCGTCCTCCCCTCAGAAGGATGTGGAAAGGACATATCTGCTTCCACTCACACCATTTTGCAGGTGTCCTCCTCCGCCTCATGGGTACAAACGGTTACTCTCCTAAGACTGCAGAGCGGGCCATGCCCCGTACCATTCGCTCCCTCTTACTGTACTCCCTCTGGGTACGTTTGTGACACCCCCCTTCTCCCCAGCACGTGTGACACCAGGAGCATCGCACACCCTCCTTGGCACTTCCATGACCTACCTGCAGGTTCTCCCCCCACTGAGCCTTCCCTTCCAGGAGCGCATCCAACACTGCACGGCTCGGTTCTCCGTTGGCTGCATCGTTCCCGCTCACAACGTAGTATGATGCTCGAACCCGCTTGAAGAACTCCGGATCTGTGTTCTTTCCACTGCAGTGGTTGGGGATGTATGCCAGGTCCACATAGACAGGTGGACCCATGGGCACAGGCAAACTGCTCTTAGGACTGCTGGAAGCTTTGGAAAAAAGAAAACAGAGGCTATCAAAACCCTTTTGGAAAGGACAAACACTCAAATTAACACTGAAGGGCTTCTGAATTCCAGAAAGGTTTTTCCCTGCAGCTGCAGCCACAAAGCGAAGATTTATCCAGGCTCTGCTGCTCAGAGGTGACCTGGGTGCATTTCTGGGCCAGTGCTGTCACAGCTCTCGGGAGGGAAAGGGGGCCCTGCTCTTCTTTGGGGAGGGACTGGAAGGCTTTAGGCTCAGCAGCTTTTCCTGGGGAAGGGAATCAAAAATCTCCATTATTAGCTTTTGCAGAGTTGTCGTCCCAATCAATATTTAGTCCTGATTTTTGTTGTTTAATAACCTACATTTGATAAAGAAACCTGTTCTGATGGCCTTTATATGCTATCCTGGGGTATTACAGTAGTCTTTCTGGAAGCTCCCTCCTGGCTTTCTGCCATTCCTGTGAATTGCTGCTATTCCAAGGACTCTATTGCTCTTTCCTATCAACCTTTTGTACCTCTTTTCTTCATTTGCTGCTGCTTACATTTACGAGATGAGAGATGGTCAAACAACAGTTGTTACACTCAGCAGTATATATGCATATATATACACACACACCACCCATAGAAGGACTGTCCGCTCTCCCTCCTGCTCTCTGTGGAATCACCGAGGCCTCTGTCCTCTTTTTCCTTCCACGGACTATCACTGTGTGGGCTCTTCTGTGAGCAAAAAGCCACTAACTACTGGCATGGACAACTCATTGTGCTGCCTAGCTGCTACACAAATGAAAAATCCCCTACCTGTCTCAGCCAGTCTTATGGATGTCTAGTCCTCATCCCAAGTTTGATTTGGGCAAATCACAGCCCTGCTCCATGCGCACCTCTACAGCCTGTATCTTTGCCTCAACCCTCCCTTCGGACTCGCACAGGCACCGCACCTTGCCAGTCCTTTCTGTGCAGCGCCTCGAGGACAGGACGGTTCTGCGCAGCCCCTGCTAACACCCCGGTGCAGGCTCCCTCCTGACTGTGCCCGTTTGCCTGGCAGCTGCTGGTGACTGGCAGCTGGCTCAGCCCCTCTCCAGCCCATCTTCCTTTGCAGAGCCCTCCCTGGCACTGTGACTCACTGCGCCGTCCGCTGCTTTCCCCTCACTCCCCTACACTGAGCAGCCCCTCCATCAACCGCTTGGCTGGTCCATCGCCCTTGCTGTCACTGACACCAGTTTGCCTCACCTCAGCTGTGTTTGCAACATGCACACGGGGCTCTTTTCAGGTTTTTCCCCTTCGGCTGCTCTCACTCAAGAGGAGCTCCCCGCTGCAAAGCTTCCCCCGCTTCCCCTCCTGCACCCTCTCTTTGCCACAGTGCCTGCAACGGGCGTCTGCTGAGGCCACCGCACGTCAGCTGTGTTGCAGGTTTCTCCATGCTCCCTGGCGCTGCCGCCTGCTGTCTCTTGTCTTACGCTCAGCATCGATGCTCGGGAGCGAAGGATTAGTATTTGCTCTGTGCCTGTAAAGTGCCCGGCACTATGCTGCCTCAGCGCAGACGTGGCGATGATGCAATACTCTATCACCTAATACTGGTATCATCTGGTAGGATACCAGTAAAGGACCGGTCTCTGTGTGAACACTTAGCAAGAGGCCGTGGGCTGTACCCACACTTGAGGCTGAGTCCCTCTTTCGCACCTTTATTTGGGAAAAAGAGAAGACCTCAGTTTCCAACAGTCAGACTGCCTGTTCAGTGCCCCGAGCATGGCACTCGGAAGCGGGAGCTGTTCCCATCCCACCTCCGCTTAACATGTCAGAGGAAAGGACGCACCCGACCATGGCGGTGTCCCGTTATTGTACGTGACAGCTTTACCTCGGTCCAGTGCAATGCACTTACCCCACTCACAGGCTGAGAGGTTGCCACCTCTTTTTAAAACACACACGTATTTCGTCCTTCGATTTCTGGCCTTTCTGTGACAGCACCCACCTCCAAATACCAAAAACCCCCCCCCCCCCCCCCCCCCATGCAGCCTCTGGCTGGAACTGACTCTTGGCCTGCGAAGTTCTGAGTTAGGTCTCGCAGGTCCGTCTCTCTTCAGAGGTGGTTGCATTCGCCTCTGCAGAGGCTGAGAGTTTTCCTCAAGGCTTTGATCTTTTTAAGTGATTTGTGTGACAACCTCTGTACCTCATCACTGCTTATAACTTTTTATGTCTGACTGGGAAGTCCTGTTCTCTGTTCTGCTACATTTAACCCCGTGCTTTTTCTCTGTCTTGGACCTAAAGAGAACATGCATGCTTAAGGAAGAATTTCTTACCGGGGTTTGTTTTGATGCCATTGACAAGGCTCTTGCCAGGGTTGCTGTGACTACTCCGGGATAACTCATCCTCTGTGTGAGGAGGCTGCACCAGCGCACCGCGTGCTTTGGGCTTCTCTCCTCCATCTCTCTCTTTTTTGGCAGTGACAGATTTTGGAGATTTGTCCGATGGTTGTTTCACAGGAGTGGGTGATCGTTTCCCTTTCACATCTAATTTCCGGGCAGGTGAGGAAGATTTGGGTTTGCTCAAAGGCTTCCTCACACCTTTGTTCTTTTCTTTTATGTCTTTCTTGGAAATTTTATCAGTTCGGCTCATGCTTTGCTCATTTACCAACATATCGGGGTCTACCATGCAGACATCAGGGTGAGGAGGATGGGGATGGGGATCTACCATTGGAACAGGCTGAGGATCATGGCTGGACCTAGAACTGGCATGATGAGCATTCCCAACAGCTTTGTCCACTGGGAGGAAATCGGCATCTTCATCCGAGTCCATGTTGGCATCCGCTGTGATGGACGGACATTCCTCTGTCTCGGGCGGGACGTCCGAGTCCGACTGGGAGGTTCCAGAATCACTCACTGACGTTGGAGGGGTTTCCTCCACTGTGGCACTTTGCATGGGGCTACTGCCAGCGTGGGGTGGTCTTCCTTGCACTGAAGGGTGACCGTCCTCCTGTGAGAGGTCACTGTCTTCAGAGAGCTCATGAGGGCTCGGGTTGATGAATGATGGAGAGAGCTCTCCCTTCCTCTGCTTGTATTCACATGAGGAAAATTTCTGTCCACAGTCAAAACTGGCTCCTAAATGTGGCTCCATCTCATGGGAAGCATCTCCCTGGTCCTCTGTTTTTCCACCCCTCTGCACATCTGGGAAAAAGGGCTGGAAACTGTGTTCAGGGGACATCAGAGAGGAAGGACGGCTCTGCCTCTCTGTGTCCTCTTTGCCTGCGCACGGATAAAAACTGCTGTCAGAATCGGGACACGTTTTTTCATCTTTTGCTTCTGCTGCATGGTATGTACTGTGGAAAGCTTGCAGACTGGTGCTCACCTCTGTTGGACCATTGGCTGTGGTTTCATCTTCATGATGAGGAAATGATGTCAACACATCAGGGAGAGATGTCAGTGTCATCAGCTGTTCTGCAAATGGTGCCTTCTGCTCTGGGCTGCTTACACAGGGTTGCCGTTGTTTCTCTGCAGAGAATGGTGTGGGCTGTGAACTCCGGCACTCCGTTCTGCATGGCGAAATGCTGTCACCCATGCCACTTGTGAATGGAGAACCATGTTCTTCAGCAAACACAAAGCCTTTGGTTTCAGCTGTATGTGTTTTCACAGCACTATCTGGAATCTGTGGAGACACATCCCAAAGACTCCTGGTGCCTGGTTCTGCTCCCTCACCCGTGTACGTGGAAAGCATATGGGAGTAGAAACTTTCTGCTGTAGTCGATATCACAGGAGTGGTGGCTTCAGATGAAGGTTCCTCTGACAGGCTAGACGAGTCATCTTTCAGCTGCTGTTGGGGCACAGACTCTCTTTCCACAGCTTTGGAGAACAACTTATCTTCCTCATACGGACTCAGTGGTGAGAATTTAGTAAAAGACGAGTCAAGGCTACTGATTTTCTCTGAAACCTCCAAGTACTCATCTTTCTTCCCCTGGTCTGAGAGCAAAGCACAAGGGACCTTTAAAGGAAGAGAGATATCCCCCAAACGGCTTGCTGAGGTTTGCTCATGTCTGAACAGACTGGATGTTTTACTCTTTCCTAGCAGGGAGCATTCAAATCCAGGAGAGCTATCCATCGCTCCGCCCTCTGCTGTTGGGCCCTTTCTGTATGCCTCTCCCTCTTCTCCAGAAGCAGATTTCAAGTATACGGCTTGCTCTTGGCACTCCGAGACCACCGCTGCACTTGGATAATCTGTTACGCAGAAATGTGATTCTTTTGTGGATTTTTCAGCAACCTCTCTCTTTTGTGAAGAATCTTGTCTTAAATGGCACATTTCTGAAGCCTGCTCTTCTCTGCCTGTGTCTGGCAGGTCGCTGTAACCAGCAACATATGTCCCCGCAACAGCGGCTGATGCGATTTTCCTACTTGGGTATTCCTCTTTCCACCCCAGATCAGAGGGTGAGGAGGCAGTGGAACTGGGTGAAATGGACTCCTGACGCTTGCTTTGCAGAAGGGGTTCTGATACGTGAAACTTGTCCGTTGCCGAGATGTGTGCGTAGGCTGTGCCTGCAGCTTCAGCAGGGCTGCGCAGCTTAGACTCCTTTTCAGATTTCTCCTTAGCGCCTTTTTCTAACTCTGAGTCACTCGTGCTTTCTTCCCCTCGACCTGCTTTCTCGTAGTATGTATCTTTGGGATTCGGGCTTTCAGATTTCAGGGACAGGGGTATCTGCTCCTGGCTAGACAAAATGATGTTCTCATCTGGACAAGCAGCATCAATATAGGCAGCTGATTTTTCTTGATAAAACGTGTCAGTCGCGTCTGTGGGAGAGGCAGATGCTGTGCTTGCGGATGATGGGTGCAGTTCAGAGTCCAGTTCTCCTGGCAAAGCAGAAGACACCTTCAGTTTTTCCTGTCCTTCAGATACCCTAGGCTTATCTGTTTCAGACAAGGGCGAGTATCTTTCATGGATGTCTGTATAGTCAAAGGCTGAATCTGCTTTATCTTTAGGGGATGCTGGAGATGACAACTCCTTCTCAGCAGAGGTATAAAGGCAGGACTCTTCTTCCTTTGCAGAGACGTGAAAACCTTCGCCTTTTTGAGAGATCAGTGCCGTTGCTGGCACCTTGTCAGTGTGACCTGGGCTGTCTGCACCCTTGGGTGTGAAGGGAGAGGGCCCAGCTCCAGACACAACTATCTTCTCATAGATGTCCGCATACTTGAAACTTCTTTCATCAGGGTAGGGAGTTGGTTCTCTTTCTTCTTGCTCTTGTCTTGTAGGGCTGTCATCACCTCTGGGTCTGCAGACCCCTTCCTCATAGGAATAAGGCTCAGGGGAGCTCCTGGGATAGGTCTCCGGAGGATATGCCACTCGGCCGGCAGAACCCACAGCCTCAGCATGGCCCACGGCAGCACTGCTTTTTTGACAAGGGCCTTGTCCTAGAGGGGGTTGTCCTAGAGGGGGTTGTGCACGCTGCCCTGACACTGCAGCACTTTCTTCTGGGGATGCTGCTATATATTCATATTCTGCTGGTCTGGTCGATTGCAGCAGAGTAGATGCTGCTGCCATCTGCTCTTTTCTCCCTGTAGAATCATACAGACCCTCAGTGGATTTGCAGTCATCCTCTTGCTTTCTATCTGACTTGTATTTACACTCTGTTTCCCGATACACGCCACTGATGTCTGATTTCTCCTCTGTGTCCTTTGACGGGACCTCCTCCCGTAAAGGTGGCTTGCACTCATCTAACTTGTAAGGCCTTTCTGTTTCTGGCGTTGTGTCCATCTCCTTTTCCAGAGTGGTTGCCATTACAGACAGGGGAGAGGCTGTCAGTGCTTGGTCTAGTGACTTTGCATAGATATCTAGGACAGCTTTCTCCTCATCATCTAAGTAGGAGTAATCTGGTTTAGATGTCAACAACAATTCTTGCCTTTCTTTGGTTCCAATTAATGCTTTGGCCTGATTTTCCTCACCAGAGACATATCGAGAAGACAGAGGAGAACTTTCCATTTGTGTTCTTGCTGGGAGAGAGATGTCAGCA